CATAAACAAAGAATAAATTTATGCTAAATTAAATAAGAAAATATTACTGTGTTTTTAAAAATCTCAGTAGTAGCACGGAGTCTGGAAATGTGCCCAGTATATGGCAATAGGCTCACCCCATATTACATGGGACTCCTAACATAAATAGTGGAAAGTGGGTGTCACATTGTAAAGTGGCATTAAGTGCCGAAATGTGCACCTCTGCCTACCCCTTCGGGGATAAAAAGGCGTGATGTTATGTTATGTTATAAATAAGAAAGCAATGCACAATGTAATTTATGAACTTACATAGAAATTCAAATAAATTAAAAGTTACTGTTAGTAAAAATACAGTGGTGTTCAGAACTTTCATATGATGTGATTACTTAATAGTTCCACAGGCTATATATCGCTATTCGACTACGCTATGCAACTCGATTGTCATTATAAGTAGGGAGATGAGTTCTATGCAACTAAGGAGAAACGGTGGTCGACAGAAGTGCTGCATCGCATAACTTGTGCACTTTCACTCATAGAACGTCCATTTAGACTGCATTACCGTAGGGCAGATGTTCGCTTTAAATGATTTTACTTCATATATGTCGATTTAAAATTAATATACTACTAGTAGGCTTATCTTAAATGAAAATTCATAAAATAATGGAAATAGATTCGACGATATCTTCTAAAAGTCTTTACTGAATTAATTTTGTGTTACTACTTCTTTCGTTACCACTCTAAGAATACTCTCATAAAATACTTAACCTTACATATACAGCTAAACATCTCTTAACGCTTCAAAGAGCTGGTCATAAACAAATATTAAGCAATGTGAATAATGATACTTAATAATAATTTACCGAAAATTCGGCACATCCCTGATTGCGATCGGCCTCACATGTTCACGGCTGCAACCTTCACGTTACGAAACCAGAGCTTTTTCCTTCCGTTCAAGTAACAGTGTGCACATTATTATGCTCCATTGTAATAGAACGTAATGTCCAAGGAAAATCGATCGGAATAATAAACCACGTTCGTACATACATCGTAGTTTAAAAGTAGACAAGAAGATCATGCAGCGAAACGTGTTGCTTGTAAACACCTCATTAGATGACTTGGAAACTATATTTAGACGATATTGCGTAGTTAGTAGTAAATGAAATATTTACTAAGGACAACGACCGAAAGGTAAATCACCGGCCAGTTGGTCCGATGACATACTGAGATCATGAACTTGCAGAGAGCACTCTGACAGAATGGCTCGTTCATGTTCACTATCAGGAGATGACAGCGCCGTGTGTAGTATCAATATCGTAGAATAAACATTCTACTCAGCTCCACGGGTTATTATAGCAATTACCGGTGTAGTCAGATGCAATGCTTTAGCTCCGTTTTTTGTTAATTCACTTCTAACAGCTTCGGAACTCCATAAATTATCCAATACGTACAATTATCGAGCCGGCTACGCAAACATTCCATATAAACGGTAGGCGGCGCATCTGCCAGTGGATTCCGCACAATCGCCAGCAATATCACTTTGTTGAAAATAGACGAGTTGCGTAACAGGCTGGGCACTGCCCAGCGCCCTTCGCCTTGGCGACAACGAGCCAAATGTCTTCGGCCCTGACGGACAATTACGAATCATTCATTTGACCAGACTCTTCCTGGGACGTCCGATAACTTCGTGTTGTTTCGCTAATCGGGAAGTGCATACATTTTATATTCGATTTCTCATCTTAGTGTTCTGTCGGCCAGTACATGAAACATGTGCATTCCTTTTTATTTGTTATTCAGTTGGCTGTGGAAATATTCCGTCTTCAAAATAGAATAATTCACATTCTTCATGTCGACTACTGTTATTATGTTTCCGCGCTCTTATCTTGTCAGCATCAGATCAAGTAATCAACATAGTTCACCCAATGAAGCGGCAAGTGCCGTGGGAGGTATTCGTCCTCTCTTCACCTGCCCTCTGCACTTGATGCAATTTCCCGAGCATGATTGATAAATTGCATATTCTCCTATTTGACTTCACCCTTCAAAAAACCCGGAAGATTGTATGACTGTCTGGATAGTTTTTAAAGAGCTAGGTCATATTCAAGGTGTCCCTTACAATTGTGTTTGACGGGTCGACTAACATTGTTAAATTGCATCCAATGATCTTCCTGGATCGCATCCGCTTAGCATTGCGCCTGTTCTGTGTACAGATAGTACTACTTCAAAATGGAGGCATACTCTTGTGGTACTTTCTGTTAGATGTCTTGAGGTCTTTACCAAGCTTTTGACCTTGTAACATGTAAGTGGCTCACAGTTGAACAGGTAGTGGTGTCAGATAAAAGCGGTTCGTAAAGGTCACAATGACATCACCATTAAATCACAAGGCTCCAATTTCCCTTTCACCAGGATCAGATCGTAGTGTGGATAAAATGCATAGAGTAGCGGGCTGTTTTTCTGAACTTCTAGAAGGGGAGGGAGATAAATAGACGTCATTATGAATACACTTAAGTAAGTGTTGTCTATGTGTAAATATTGGCAGGTGCCTGTATAGGTATTGTGCACGCAACTGGCGCACCTGTCCGAGCCCGCACAGTGTTGGAGCATTTATTTTTATGTCTATTAATTAGCACTCGAGCTTGCGGCAATAGTAATAAAAAAACTGTAATTATACATTGTCATTGATTGATTTTCTCATAATATTTTATTGAATTTAAAATAAAAACCATCTGTTTCTGATCTGAACGGTGATGTGACTCACGAAAAGGCTTAAAATATAAAAATCTATTAAGTCCCCAGTATTGCAATGAGTCTGCATAAGGCATTAAAACGAGCACTGAATATAAGGTCGCAAAGTACTGAGTGACGTAAGCACACTTGCCGGCAGAGCAGTGCCCTCTGACGGCAAGAAGCCGACCTTGGGTCCAAAGCAACTTTCAACCCGGAAGCCGCGGCGTCATTCTAGCTGTCACGTTAAAACCGCTGAATTTTATTTACATTACCCTTATTTGGTGCAAGCTGAATATATGGGGCGTACAGCCTGTGTAATGGATATTTTAATGGGTTTATATATTAAAGTTCGTGCCCTTTGGCGGGGTTTATTAAAGCTGACCTTCGTGACCTGAGAGGAATATAACACTTTTGATTTTAAGTTCAGTCCATATCTGGCTTTGCAGAAATAAAATGTAGGGGAAAAGTATCCTTTATTGCCGGCTTTTACGAGTTAATTTCAAAGAAATGCATTTACTTTTTAAAACAGTTCAATCTGTGTGTAAATATTGTATGTAACGAAATTATTTCAATGTATCGACGGATCATTGCCGGGTATAATTCCACTACATAAAAATATTTATGTTGTAATCACACGGTTCACGTGATATCTGCTCATGTTTTGATCCTGTCCTGTATGCGTATGCGCGAGTATGTCGTACAGTTTAACCTGGCTGCCTTCCAAACTTTGGAGAAACGACTAGGAATAAGTCAAAATCTAGAAATATTTTCGAAAGTTCATCAACTCCATATTTGACCTTATTGTTAAACCAAATGTTATGCAGCTCCAGGCACAACATTTGACAGTCAAGGCCAATTATAATAAAACTTGTTTAAAACTTTTAATTAATATAATTTGTTAAAAATATCGTGATTCCATGCACGCATATTTCTGTCACCTTGTTATTAACGGCTTGAAAACACCAAAAGCCACAAAGGAGGAAAAATCAAAAAAGTTTCCATACGATATAAGCGGCGCGGACCTTGGCGTGGTACTTACGAATTAAATCGGCCCCCGCCGAGGCCGCCTCGCCTTCCGCAACAACACCGCGTATTTGTTCGCCTCTGATTGAATTATAACACTTAAATGTGTCTGCATCCCACTTTGTTGTGCCGATTTAGCAGATCCGTGGTGATAACACGCCTGTACAATCTATCAGAAGGTTTGAATATTCGGCAGGCACTAACTAACAGGTCATGGTAAATAGTGTCAATGTTACAGTATCCTGTCTGACCTCAACAGGTCGTTTAGCCTCGTCGTGTGCACCATGCCATCCGTCACTACTTTGTCCTACATATAAACCTAAGTATTTATGTTTTCTTGAACGGAATAAATTGCCATCGAAAGAGGAACGGAATGTTCTAGAATTCGTGGCTCGTAGAAAAGTTGGATCAAATTGGCAAACTTCCAAGAGATATTGTAATAAAGAGAGACATACGCGCTTCCCGGATCTACGTATAAATGACGCTGATGACGACACAAACAGCTTACCCTACATTGGAGGCTTTATTTACGTTCATATTCGGCCCTGAAAACCGGCTTATCTTTATGGTAATATATATAACTGGTGATTTGTATTTTCTACTAAACGTACGAACGTTTTTGTTCTTAAATCCTTATTACACGTTTTGAAAAATGTTCAGAGGAAACCGTTCAAATGTGTCATGATTTGCAGATGGAATCTCTAAGATAAACACCTTGATAAGAGCTATCACAGACTAACTAAAACACAACTCGTTTATAAAGCTTTAACTTGAGTAACTTACCATAGAGCCTGGTGGTGTATTGCTATGCTGGAAGGCAGGTGTCCATGTGAACACATGGGGCAGGGAGTCACCACGCGCTGTCATGCAACGTTCCGTCTGAAACAAAGAATACGAACATTACTCATCGCCCTTTACAAGGCCTTTCCCGCCAGCTAGTTTAAAACATTTCCAGTGGTATTTTCCATTGTGAATAAATGAGTAATTTTACAATTTCCAAATACTAGAGTTATTTGTATTTTGGTGTAAATATAAACAGAATGCGTTGTTATTTCTGTTAACTGTCACGGCTTGTTTACCTAGTCCCATAGGACGAAGGGGACTGGTAACACGGAAGAGTTTAATAAGCGACATTGTTTTGCTGAACAAACAAATTGTTTGTTACAAAACTCTAAAGTAGAACATGATTTTTGTAATAACTGTTACAGCAAACGTAAGATGTACTTCAAATGTCTTAAAAATCTTTCACACAATATTTATTTTTCTTTTGTCCACAGATAATAACACGTAGCCACTCAGGAGTGAGAGGTGTATTACATGCGACCCTGGTGGCTTTTGATAAACATTGGAACATGGCGCTCAGTGATGTCCTAGAAGTTTGGCAGAAAAAGAGGGTGAAACAAAGGAAGATTCCTCCTGTAATGGGTAAGACAAAGATTATAGGGGTTAATAGTAATATTAGGTATTTATGGAAACTCTTGTTCTAATATCAATGTTACAAAAAAACAGGTAAACCAGTACCGAAAGGCACGGCGGCAACAATCTCTACAATCCCGACTGTGACAGAAACTCCTCTGGGGAAGGGAATATTCGAATGCCAGAGACACGTGCCACAGATGATGATGCGCGGTGAACACATAGTACTAATCAACGTGGTCGAGCGGTGACCTCTTCTAAACACTGCCAGCCTGGTAGTTCGAATATGTGTTGCGACTTTTTGTGCGACCTATGTTGTAATCTTTACGTGTTAACTTTTTGTATAACTTGCTAGTTACTATTATATTATTTTGATAGTTTATAGTACCTAATACGCTTATCGATCCCAGATCGCTAGAATTTTGTCTATGGTGCTTCTATTGAGCTAGAAAATATGTTGTAACTGGTTATAGCTTAGTGTTCAAATGAGCCTTAAACAAAGTTATTTTTATAATCAAAAAAGTTTGTGTACTTTTTAATGACAATAAAATGTTCTCACTGACATTCCCATGCGTTTCCAATGTCCCAGTATTGTCAGCGTATAAAATAAAATAAAATCCACACAATGCTTGTTTTGAGGAACGTTATTCGATTTTTAAATGATATTCCATGAGAACGGGCTGCCATTGAAATGACGAACATTACACCCAATTAAATACACACTATGTATTTTGAGTTTTTTAAATGGATTCTCTTTTATTTTGACGTGAACATCTATAAAGTAGTAAATATATGTAGATATTTACACATAATGTTGGTGTACCGCCACAAACCACAGGATCCACAAATTGTACACTTTGCATACGTAATTTCAAAGACAGGATATGTTATTATAACGGGATTTCACTGTTACAATCCTATAGTAAAGTCCTGTACTGTTGGTGGTATCAATAAACGGGAGCACTGAGGCGTACGACACATGCCTACAGGAAACATACGCACTGTCGAACATATCTGCATAAATATAAAGAACTTTATTGGTTTTTGTAACGAAATCTTCGATAATGTGTGGAAATTAATTCATTTATTGTGGCAGTGTCTTTGTTTTGTAAAGTGTGACTTCTGAGCAAGTGATAGTAATAAGTGCGTGCTGTTTGTGTATCCGGGATCCCATCGATGCTAGGATATATGTTGCCAGTGTACGGTAATTTGCGGGTGAGCATCCCAGGTCGGTTGACACGGAAGCGCACACGCATTGTGCGCAACAATAGTTTCCCCATTTTCCCGCGGCCGGGGAACGGCCGACGTGACCGCGGCAAGTCCGTCGACCCCGGGACAAGAGACGCGGGACGCTTTTCGCGTGCGCAAACGCAGACCTACCGAAATATGAGACTTTTTGTTTTGAAGAATGTAGCTTCTAAGAAAATTATGCTCATTATTACAATTGTGTACATTTTCCTGTTAAAATAATTTTATCCTATAGTAAACATGGAATAGCCTTTATAAAATGTAATAAGATGATAAACTCTCATAAATTATTTTGCTCATTCGGTTGGATTGTTTGCCCTTAAAATTAAATACGATACAATGATTAAGAAAGTTGTATAAACTGTTAAGATACCTACTTTAAGAGCTAACGACAAAGTTAGTAGAATAATAATATAATTAAACTGTACAACTTTTCATAATCTTATTTATTAAGAAGTCTCTAACATTGAAAATAATTAGTACTTTGTACTGAAGTATGAGTTTGTTTTAATTATTCTAAACAGGCTTATCTCCTAAGGAGACTTGTGTGGTATTTTTGAAATAATTATTCTAATTAAGACACTAATAGAAAACTAGAATGCATCAGCTGCTAATCCTGCGCAGGTTGTAAGTGTCGATTGGATAACGGATCGGGCGTGTGTTTAGCAGCCTTTGGCTTAATGTGTGCAATTTGTCATTGTAACGGCCGAGCACATGGCCCCACGGTGGGCGTCAATTACACACCGGCCTAAGGTGTAAAGAGAAATGCTAATAATTTTTTAACTATTTAACTATTTCTTTCTGCCACAAGTTAAACAAACTTTACAATTTCCCACACAAACTGTGACGACATGAAAAGAATCTCATGTTGTGAGCAATGCATCATGTCTATTTCTGTTTGAAATCGATCAAGAGACAATGGCCGGTCGGGGCGACGCACCCTGGCCGTCGGCCAACGCCCAGGAGGGTAGCAAACAATCATCGCAGTAACACTTGACACCCAGTGAGAAAACATATGGACCTGACCTGAAATGTGCATAGTTTGTTTTGACAGGTTTCTTAACTACTTGTTCACTTATGGTCATATTTTAGCCTGATTGTCACTGTTTTCTGATGTTTATTATGTCGGCCATCTTTATTTCGACATGACAGTTGTTAGTGCTAAGTTTAATAAAACATTTCGTAGTTTCTTCGACTATTCATTCTGCCGTGAGAAAAGTTCGATTCTTTTTCAATGGATTGGTTTCATCTGAATGCAGTATTTTTTACGAAAACATAACAATCGAAACAATTTTCTTTCCAATTGTTATGATAACTAATCAGGAAACGTGTTCCGTTATCGAATGCACTTAAAAACTTGTAGTGTTTTGTTCCACACATTATTATGTTATTGAAACTGTTCAAGTGCTCGAATTCGCAAACATGTGTCATTTTTGTTTACTACTGCAGTATTTACATTATGTTAAATGGTCTACAAATCTGAATAAATCGGTCGCTTGTATAATTCATTAATTGTCACCGTCAACCTTCGCGGTGACCTTACACGACTGATTTTAAATATATACGCGGAAGTGGCGGCGGGTCTCGAACGATTTGACAACAAATTAAGAACGTTTGTTTATAATATTGTTTATAAATACGCGAGGACGGTTATATAATGGCGATAATATTGTATTAGATAATGTTCGTATTATATTTGTAACCTTGCTGGCTGCGAAGAATGGACCGCTCTTTTATCTGATTTATCTACGAGCACAATAGGTCTTAGAAGCACTTCGACAAAGCTCAATTTGTATATCTGATACTCAGTAGTCACGGATCTCTTCTCGAGGTAAATTAGAGTAGGTACCAGTATAACTTTTATTAAAGAAATCAATGTTCTGTTCTGATATTTTATCAGCTAGGAGACTGGTAATTTTATCATAATCTATTTGCTTTAATATTGGTTTTAATTAAATTACTGTGATATTTGTTTTCTATTCACTATTCTTGTTCTTAAAACGAGTTGCAGTTTATTTCTGCTAACATTTATTATCGTCATAATTTCACAGCGGTTGTCTCTTTTTGTGAAGCACTCTCATAGGTACATGCTTTTGGTAGTAAACAGCGTGTTCGTCCAAGCATGTGGATAATGGACTGTAGGCGTGGGTAGCAGATATTAATAGCGTTGCCTTTGAACAATAATATATCAGGGATGACAGACTACAAGACAAATAACTTAGTTTACACGTGATCAACAATCACATAATGTGAAAACTTTAATATTGTCGTAAAAACTTTGAAAACTAAACCTGCATACATAAAGGCAGAGGATGAGAATGATTTTATAAGGATTATAATTTTTTACTAGCTCTTAAAACAGAATGAAAATTGAAAGTAACCGGCGCACAAATTGTCAAAGGTCACAAAGTGTACAAAAGCTGGTTGATTATACATTTGTAGTAGAGGTCGCTAGCGCTGCATAGAGGCCATTGTGAGATGATTATCTAGAGGTGAGAGATCGACTTGCCTTCTACAAATTAGTATGATTATGTACTTTGTGTTGTAAGTTATAATGATGAAGTAGTTTATGGGTAAAAGTACTTGCAAATTATCTGCTAGCTTATACATTTTCAAGCTGAAAATACCTAATCAATGTCAATTAATGTCGTTCATATACCATGGGCCATTTCTAAGTCAATTAGGGAAGCGAAATAGATTGGTAGTGTAATTATTCTGGCTTGCAACAAAGCTATGGAGTAATGATGATAAATGTTATCAATTTGGAACCCACTGCGGCCGGCACAGAAATAAAGTTGTTCCTATGAGGTAGGACATGAGAGAACTATTTCTAAACGTCTGCAGGAGGACCTATAGGAATGAGATCTTAAAATAAATTTATAATTTGGGTCATAGACGTTAGATCGTTTCAAAAGTGTGATAACGGTCACCGGTCACCTGTCGCCTATATTTCGCCTATAAAATTAGTCTTGATCGACATGGGACACATAAACTGAAAACATCTCTGGCATCCAAGATCTCCCGAATAAAATATGTATAGTAATAAAAATATAGTGCAAACTTTCACCGGAGAAGTTCCGGCGTTAGGCGAGGGTGAGTATAAATAGCGGCGGTTGCGCAACGCGGCCGATGCACTGCGCGCGCGCATCGACACCGACACTGCCGATTGGGATTAACGTTAACTGCAGTTAGCGTAGCAGCTTAAACTGCACGTTAGGATAAACTTACCAAAAAGCTTCTAGAATAACATGAGTACTCTTTAAACCGTACCTGAACATGCAAATGAAACCTTAGCGGCAGCTTTTATGGGATAATACAAGCAAAAACAGGCTCTACTTAGCAGCACATCCATAAAGGGACTTGCCATAATTTTTTTGTTTAGCAATAAACACCAACATATTTTTAAGATCAAAAACAAGTGTATATGTAGTTATAGTATCGTATATAGACACGTTAAATGTATCGACATTACTGGTAAGGCGAACTGGTCTCGACAAGGCGACACTTCCGCCTTATGTACCGGCTGTATATAATGTATATGTATTATATGTTGCGTCCAATGTCGTCCACTATTCTTTTTTCCAACCTTGGTGACTTGGTGACTCGGCTCCGGCTACTAGTGTGCAAGAAATTGGAATGTATGGAGATTCCAGCGTCGGCACCTCGCCTAGCGTCACGTGTGTTCGCATGCGTAGGCGCATGCACAAGAATGTGCTAAAGATTCTTTGCTTTTTATGGTAACTTGCAGCGAAATGCATATTTGAATGTGAGAGAAGTATAACATTTTTTAACCCAGAAAAACCTAACTTCTTTCCATTTGGTACAAGCAGATTTTATAGCAGTAGCTGGAATAATTTCCAAATGTCCTTAGTTCTGCACAACAAAAATTAAACTCCAGTTAAACCGCTCGTTAACGCTGCGCGCGCGCACCCGCCCGTGTTCACTTTACTCTTTTTGTATTCGTTCTTGCAGCTAACTTGGGATTGGCTTGACCCATTTACCG